AAAACAGGCATTACTCAGGTTTGTATCTCTCTTCTTCAACGCGCGTTCAAACTCAAGTGGGATGAAGGAAACAAATACAAAATATGCGCAGTTTATTGAATATATACTTGATCACATGGAACGATTCTATTACGTTATATTAAATAAACGCTTTATTGATTTATCTTCAGCACGGCTACAAAAGTATTCAGTGTGCAATGAGTTACGAGAATTCAATGAAGCGAAGGCTCCCTATCTACCGTTACGGCGATCACTTTGTTTGCTGGTGAAATTTAGGTAGCAAAAAGTTATAGTGAAATGTCTCATCATGGTTCCAGCTAATTCAACAAATCGCTGACCTCATGCCACAAGGTTTATCGACGAAGTGCGATTTCAAAACAGATATGCGTCAGACAGAAGGGAAAAATCAACCGTCTAGCACCCAGATAAGCGAACCATGACCATGGGTTGTATGGCGGATGATGTAGCTTGGCAGCTGATTGATTGCGATAGGGTGGCTGCGATCAATAGTACATACAGTGAAACTACTGGCTGAACAGAAGAACGAATTTGTTTAGTTTTATTTTAGCTCCGCGTGAGGCATATTTGCAAAAAGGTCCTCCTTACATATCCATGATGGACGTTGTACAGAAGAACGTTATGACTGAGTTTATAAAACGATGTTTATCTCCGCATTCGATTACCGGCCAATATTGGATATTTTCTAAGGCATCTATAGTTAAATGAGTATCATAAAGTGGAAATCAATCTTTGTCTTTTATGCTTCTACATTACCTGATGATGTTTATTGTTCGAACAGTTTAGTTTGAAATCGGTGAGCAATAAAACACGCTGAATTCAAGTAAGATGAACAAGGACCCTGTGTTTTAAGGTACGAAACTTCCTCTTAGAAATGTCAAATTTGAGCGAAAAATGAGCAGTCCTCCACCTCGCCCTCCACTACCCGCATGACGATCCCAAGCTTGTACTTTAGTTGTGACTGCGTGAAATATTGTTTGCTGAGGCTAGAGTGCCACACCAAATGCAAAATAAATACCGGCCCATACTGAACTTGACCTCTTTTTCGATTCCCGCGGTAAGATACAGTGGCAATGGGTTTTGCTCAAACTTCATGCAT